AAAATTGCAAGTTTTAAAAAAAAATAAAGTGGTAATAAAATGAAACATTTTAATCACCTTTAATTAAGATTGTCATAACAATAAATAGTATACAATCAATTAATACTCAATTACTTATAAATAAATTTCAATATACTTATACGTTCATTCAATAAATGACATAATAAATTAATACCATAATACACAAACAACTACACACATAACGAATAAAATCAAACAACCACAAGTATATAAGAATCAATTAATAATATAGAAGTTAATAAAATAAAAGAAGAAAAAAAATATAGTCATAATGTTAATAAGAATAAACAAAACCAAATTATCAGATAATAACCTCTAAATAATATCTGTCAATAAGTTTGATAATAATTGTCACGCAAAAATTATTAGAGTTTATAAATGTTAATAAAAAGGTAATATTAAAATATAACATTATACATAAATAATAAAAATAAAACGACGTATGAAGATTAATTATTTTAATATAGTTAAAGGAACTGATTGAAAATAGAATTATTTAATAAATTAAGTAAAAACGATATTTCAACTTTGGTCTAGTAACTTGTTTGCATAACTTCCAATATTAAATGTTTTTCCTTGTTTTTGTTTTGGTTTATATCTCGTAAAATACACTGATTGTCTTTTATTAGAAAATATGTCTCGATAAATTGGAGGAGAAAGGATTTTATTAACACTCTTTCTAAAACAGTCATAAACATCCTAAAAGAGTTAAATATTGATAAAAGTGAGTAAAGAGTATAAAGAAAACAAACAGGAAATATAAGAGATCTATTTTTTATCATCATTTCAAAAGCTTTAATAAGTGTTTTAATTTCTTTTGCTGCAGTCTGAACATCATCTTTTTCAACAAGGGTAGAAATAGCAATACAAACAGCAAGATTATATTCGTCCATTTTTGAGCTAGATGTTTGAGCGATTTTACCACAAAGAGCAAGTAAGTGTTTAAGTAATAATGAGTTAAATTTAGGAATTTGAGAACCTAATTGTCTAACATTATCAATCCATATAGATGAATTATTTTCATTTTCTTTTGTACAATTAAGTAAAGAAGGAAGCAATTCTTTTGGCCAAATAGGAAAGTTAAGAGTGTTAAAGAATTTTCGAATAACATTTGCAATATCAACGTTTGTTATAGTTTGAGTGTCAATTATTCCAATAAAATCCATATAATTATCAATTACATTTACATCAGTAGAGATTCTAAATACACCTTCAAGAGAACGACGAGAGAAATAAAGAGAATACATTGCTTTTAAAATTGGGAGAGGAATCTCATCTTTTTCAATTATTGAAGAAGTATTAAAATTATAATTTATATTTAATAAATTCTTTCTTTCATTAACTAAAGAAGTTACAGCAGATTGAAGTTGAGCACAGTCTTCTTCTTGTAAAATAGATGAATAATTATTCATTTCCATTCTAACATTTACGGTGTTAATAATGTACTTTGCAAATGATTGAAATGAAATAATATTAGATATCATTTGAGTTTGCTGCATTTTTATATCGTCAACAAATGAAAGAGTTTCTCCCCAATTATTTTGTTGAACTAAACTTGAACTTAAATTTATTATTCCATTTTCATATGTTTTAAGTATTTCTATAAATGATTTGTTTGTCGATGAAATAATTAATAACTCATGAAATAACGACATTTGTGATGCTGACTGATTTACTTCAGTTTTCATTTCTTCAATAGATTTTTGAAACTCATTAATTATTGGTATTAGTTCAATAAGTTCATCACTTACTTGTTTTGCTTTTTCAGAAATGTTTTTCATATAATGAACATAATTCTTAGAATATCGTTCAAGACAAGTTTTATGAGCAATTTGTTTTAAATCATTCATTCTTTTAAGACTGGTTGTTAGTTCTTTGATTTTTAAGTTATTTTGATTTTATTAATCTTGTTAAAACGAAAAAAAAAATATTTGATAAATAAAGATTGATTAATAAATTTATAATGAATGAGGATGACAAACTAAGTCAAATAAAATTTTCATATCAGTAGTAATCATTTGGGCAATAAAATCTTCAGGAATTTCATTAAATTTTTCAATCAATACATTTGATTGTTCGATATATGTTGTTAACATAGATTTATTATGTAATATCTTTTCAATTATTAAATATGCATCTTCTGATAAAGCAGAATGTCTTAATAACATTACGATAAATGATATTATTGTTAGAGTTGGATATGGAAGATTAGAAGTAGATAAGTCTAATTGGAGTAATTTTTGAATAAAGTCAGGATAGTCATTTACATTAAAATAATGCTCAAAAAGCATTGATATATATGTTTCTGATCTTTGGAAATTACGTCTAACTAAATCAAATACACCTTGTGGATTAAATAATAATGCATTAGTCATACAACAATAACAAATAGGATAATCTTCTTTTAATTGTTTTACTTCAATTGAATCATTATAAATCATTGTTGAATAAAGAAAATAATCAACAAGACATCTTCTTGATATATTTTTCTTTAATTCAAAATCATTAACAATATGAGAAAACATTGAAGGAGACATATGGAAATTTAATAATGAAATAATTTGATAAAATTGAGGAATTTCAAGATAATTTATAATAACTGTTCTATCCTGGAAAAATTCTCTTAGTCTTCTATAAACTGAAGAATTTATTGGTAAAGATACAATTTGTGATAAATAGGATTGAGTTGTTCTTAGAAATGGAGAACATAATAATAATTCATTCATTTCCATTGTGTAAGTCATAAAATAATGTTTATGACGATGATGACTTGTTTTACAATTAACTAGTAAAGAAACTAAAACACTTAATAATTGTGGGTTTGGGACTTTAGGATCTAAAGAATTTAAAATAAGTTTTAATACCTCTTCAATAAATCTAATTGATATTTTACAATAACTATTAATACATTGAATAGCTTGTAATCCTTCCAAATCACTAGAAACAGGAGTAGCTTTATAATTCCAAAAAGATGAGTGAAGAATTTGTTGAATATTTTCAATATATTCTCCATCTTTAAATAATGGTAACATTGTTTCATATTTTGCTTGAGCTTCTCCAAGTCTTCTTAAAAAGAATTCATGTAATATATTTTCCATTAATGGAACAATCATTGTGGAGTATTGTTGAATAGACATTTGTGCATATAAAGGAGTAAATAATTTTTCTTGTGAAATACCTTCAGATGTTGTGTATTTATTATTTCGAGTAAATGGAGCATGTCCTATAAAATAGGAATTATAAATATATTGAGAGTTTTGATGTGTTAATGGAGTATTA